CGAATTGATAATAGGTATGTCAGAATTATTGATAGATGTCGTGTCAGAGCGACACATTCAGTTAGTTATCCCAAGGACGTGTATTAGACACGTCCTTGGTTATTCCAGTGACATCCTGTCGACTAAAAATTCCTATTACACAATATATTATACAGGTCCATCCATGCATGGCTTCTTAATTGAGGTACCCGACGTGCACAGGTAACATTTATTGAACCACATATATTTGTCCGACGTTATTTATCTTGTGCGTGTTTGAAATTATAATTCCACCTGTTAATGAATGATGTTCTGATAATAATAGTATCCACTATTTTTGCTGATAATAAGTTTAAAAAATTTTATAAACATGATCTTTAAAAAAATTTGTGAAATACATATACTGTTTTGTCATGATTCTGGACCCTTCTTTTGAAAAAAAATTCTTCACGCAAATGCAAGCTTTTGACGATTGGCAAACATGCAGTATAAAGTAATGCAGCACTTATAGTCAGTATCAAATATTTATTTATTGACGATAAGAGAGCTCCTTCTATGTCTAATGTCCCTATCTTTATACGGATTAGAACGACAGGGGAAACAGTCACTGTAAAGGAACGGAGATAGAGTGGCATAGTGAAAAAAAAAAATAACCGATTAGAGAAAATTATACTACATAGAGAATGATCGACGAAAAGGGTAATAGTTATTGTAAAGGAAAAGAGATAAAGAGAGGCATAGTAAAAAAATGTTTGCTAGACAAAGTTACTGCTCGCTTTGATATTTTTATACAAAATCACACATCGTGTTCCAAATTGGTATTCACGTGCGCTGACTTGATGTGTTAAGTTTCTGCATAGCATGGTTAAAAATAATTAAGTATCCCATTTGTTATATCGTAGTGTCACTGTGTTTCTTTGTTCAATTTATTTAGTTTGTTAATGATTATGTAAATAAGAATAAATCTGTATACCCTTCATACCCGTTTAGTTATTGCCTGTAGGCATTTCATTATTGTTACATTTAATATATATATTGAATCTTTCATACATCTTAAAGTAAAAGATGTGTGTCTGAGTCAAACGGCGACATGAGAAGCCTGTATACTAGTACGACTCGAGTATAGCATGTAAAAATCCTACTCAATATGGTTGTATTGGAAATCTTTTCATACAGATAGATAACTCATAGTCCGACATTTATGTAATATTTGCCACATGACGCTCATATTTCTTTCTACTATCATCATCTTATTCATTAAATATTGCTGTAAGCATCGATGGTTCACACCCAAACCAAATGGGAGTAATATACCTTTAGAGCTTCTCCGTGGTATACACTTGTCACAAATATATAGACGAAATTCGTTATTGAAGTGAATCTACATCTCACAAACACAATTTTTGAATTACGATTTTGAGTGAACACCCACCAAACCAATACAAAATGGCAAGATATAACCATGCAGGCATTTAGTTTTCGTCAGACACGATAAATAATACGCTCATATTGCTTTCTGCTATCATCATCTGCTTCATCAAATATTGCTGTTAACAACGATGGTCCACACAAAAAAAAAAAGGAATTATATACAATCAGAGCTTCTCAGTGGTGTACACTTGTGAAATATATAGACGAAATTCGGTATTGAGAAGTGAAATTACATCTCACAAACATTATCTTTGAATTACGATTTTGAGTGAACACACACCAAACCAATAAAAACGTATAGCAAGATACATAACCATGCAGGCATTAAGTTTTCGTCAGGTACAAGATAAATAATCGCTCTCATAAACGTACATGCATGCAGTTTATGATATCAAGAATAAGAGGTCGATGTCTGTAGATCATTGTTCAGTTCGTTTACTGACTGTTCAGAGTCAGACATGTCACTTGCTCATTCTTGGAAGCATTCGTGTACCCCATCCGATAGTGTTGACAACTATGCTTGTATGGTGATTCTGTTTTTCTGGGCAAGTGGTTGGCCTCCCCTGACCCAACAAACAAACGAATGATACGCTATTAGTCTGCTTTGTCCTTTAGAAAGAACATCTGGAGCTCGTCTTCAACGGCGCTTATACCTCAGGAAAAGTATACTAGTACAGCTTGTTTCAAGGAGACGAACTGTTCTAAAATCGTCATTGTCAGCAATACATTACTAAGCTATGCCATTAATTACTACAATTACTATTTTGGATTAATGACGGCCACCCTGTAGAGTATTACACTAAATTATAATATAATATAAAAATGATTATATTTAATTTTCATATGTTCAAACCGTTAAAGACAATTAGAACACCTCATACAAAAAACAGATCAAAAGAAAAAAAAAGGAAATAAAAATTTCCAGACGGAATAAACAATTATTTTAATAGCTTAGATTTATTATGAATGAAATAAATGATAATTGGCATTCTTTTCACAAATAATTATTCTAAGAGATTGTTAGTTGAATTTATTATGTAGGAATGAAATTTTAAAAAGAAGATAAAAAATCATGCATGTTGTACTATTGTATTTTTTCAATAAAAACTTTTAAATTGCGATAGTTTTTCGATTGTTAGCATTTAAACATCGCCAGATTTAAATACAAGTTAAAGAATTCCGGTAAAGTAAATTAAACAGATGTGCAATTATTAATTGGGAAATGTTAAATTAATTTTCTTTTAACTTCATATTTTAATTTTATGCTAATTGCATAGAGCGTAATCGAAAATTGTTCCATTTCAAAATACACTTCCGGAATTAAAAAAATTGAATTTTTATTTTCAATTAATTTATACATTTTAATAATTGTTTCTCTATTATCATCGGGTATTTCAGCTTGGTGTATTAAACACGCTATACTCTTTCTTTTCATCCATTCAAAATGACAACATTCACACCTGTGTACGCTTGAATTCACACCTGTGTACGCCTGAGGCTAAATTGCTGCAAGGGAAAGTTCAAACGAATTCTCCTCAAATCGATAAATAAACAATGACTTTACAAAATAATATACACACTCTGTTCACCTTGCCTTGAAATGGTTACCAAAGTTTTAACGGTAAATAAAACAGTTTAATATCAGTCAAAGTGTTCAACAGATATTTTATGAAAAAATCTCAACAATAATTTATGAAATTAATTCGAAAATATTTATATTTAGATAACTTCATATAGGAAGTTTTATTCAATCAATACAAAACGGTACACACATATTCATTTTCTTTCATTCTTATATTGTGGTTATTAACTACGACCAACGGTCATCTGTGCGCTTTTAATTACGTAAAATTCTGATAAGCTATTAAGACTTTAACAGATTTTATTTTTTCCCATGATTCAACAAATCGGGTTAAAACGTCACAACCCAGTGACGTAGGTCAACCAAAAAAGTTACAAATACTTGATTTTCTCCGTTATTAGAAAGAATATAAATATAAAACTTTGTGAATGTGTTTCTTATGTTAAGATGAACATATTTAGATGATAAGTAAAAAATCGCGGACTTTCCCTTTAATTAGCGATATGATCAGCAAGACCAGATTAACAAAAAAGAGATTTTTGTCATTAATTCTGTTCTAGTCCACAATGTTAGAGAGTGTCCATTGTTGAAGATGCACATTGACCTATGTGAGCAACACAGGCTCTTTAGAGCCTTTAGTCTTTTTATGCCGTTGAAGCTCTATAGTCAATTATTATACCCCACGCAATAAAGATGCCAAGGGTTTAATATTTCTGACCTGTCTGTCCGTCAGTCAATTTGTCCTGTTCTTGTCATCGCAACTCCTCGAAAACCACACACGCCAAGGCTCCGTGTTGGAAGACCGTACTTTGACCTATAATGGTTTACTTTTTTTAAATTTTGACTTGGATGGAGAGTTGTCTCATTGGCACTCATACCACATCTTCTTATATCTAACAACAGATTTTCATGAATCTTTGTAGATAATCAGAACATACTATATAGATGTGTACTTCAGTACTTAATTGATAGGGGGTGCTGCTTGGGTTCTGTTACCCAACCCTTTTCATATAACTTAGATTTTAAAATGTTACCTTTTCATATATTGCGTAGATAAAAATGTAACCTTTTCCCCATATTGGTTGAGTTTCATGTAGCATGTTGAAAAAGTGGAATACCAAAGTGTCAAAAGAGGGAAAATTTGTGGATAAAAACACAGCCTGGAACACCAAGAAAGATGACAGACGAACTTTATTGACCTTATCATATATTTCTGATAGTTTTCCCCATCTATTCACATATTTTACAGCTGGAATATGACCCATTCCAGCAGCATGTCCTATCACCTTGTATATAGAAAGTGCCCTCTCCCCCCCAATCCCCCCCCATGACCCATTCCAGCAGCACGTCCTATCACCTTGTATATAGGAAGTGCCCTCCCCCCCCCCCAAGATATCTATATTTTATTATTTTTCATATTTTATTGGAATGATAATTGAATTCTTGTTTCATGTGCTAGATGGTGTACATTGGAGAATTGATGCTGTATGTTTTAATTGTCTTTATGAGAAATCACATTTCCATCTTGTTCTCTGACACTTAAAATGGTCATTCTGATCAAAACTTGAAAAATAAACTAATTATAGATACCAGGATTAAAATTTTGTACTGCAGACGCGTGTTACATCTACAATCGACTCATCAGTGTTGTTGAATTAAAAATTTAAATGGGCCAAAATAATAATATATGGAAGATACTTTGAAAAAATCCTCATTTCTTCCAGTCTGATAAAAATATGACCACCAAAATCAAATCTTAATTCTGATCAAACAGTTTAAAAACTCTAAAGTAATGCCAAACAAAAAAATCTGAAAATTCTGTGAAGGGCCATCAAGTGACTGAGAATGTTTATTTGTGTTGGAGAGTCGTCTTAGTAATAGCTCAAGCTTACCACTAGTTATTCAGGGCTTATTTTTCAACCTTCTCTCTCTGTCCATAGGTTTATTATATTAGTTTTTGTATAAAATACATCACGCAAGATAAGTGTATATTTGATTTTTCTTGCAGGATTCAAACTGAGTAACCGTACATTCAGCACTCTAGTTATGAGGTTCAGTAATAAAGAAGGAGAGATAGAATTCAGTGATTTTATGCTGTGTGCCATCAAGCTTAAAACAATGTTAGGTAAGATTTCTGGCTAGTTGTCTTATATAATTAAACAGCTCCAAGTGTCATATAATTATATGCTGTCTGTCTGACTGTCTAATTTTTCTCTACAAATCAGTCTCTTGAAATTTTGTATCAAGCTTTTATGTGAGCATGCTTTACTGTGTTATACCTTTTTAAATTCATTGCTCCTTAACTTCCTGTTTACCAAATACTTATATATTCTAACACATTATGGCTATTTATGAAGACTAGGTATGATATGTATGTGCTTCATATTGATTTTATGAGTAAAGCTCTTTTCAACTGATTTTTATCGTGTTTTATGTTGTACTGTTACAACACTGTTCCGGGTAAGGGGGAGGGTTTGGCGCCAGCAAATATGTTTAACCTCGCCACATTCTGTATGTGCCTGTCCAAAGTCGGGCGCCTGTTTTTCAGTGGTTGTTTGTTGCTGTATATTTGTTTTTCGTTGATTGTTTTGTACATAAATCAGGCCGTTAGTTTTCTCATTTGAAATGTATTACATTTGTCATTTTGGGGCCTTTATAGCTTACTATTACTGCTATTTCAGGCGTCTGTCACTGTGGCGTCACCATGTAAGTTTGTGATTATTGTTTAATTTAAGGGGAACTACTAGTGGTAAGACAATGATATCTGGCATTCTGTTGTATTAGTGTTGGCACATCTCATTTCCATGTAGAGTATTTGGCTCCACCCCCTCAGTCATGATCTATTGTCTTTGAAACTTTTGCTCAGTTTAAATAAAGTTTGTAATTCGATCAGTATATAGTAACTAATGATAAGTTAATGATATTTGGTATATAGTTGTATTAGCATTGACACCTGCCCCTCAGTCTTGGTATTTTGACTTTGAAACTTTTGCATAGTTTACATGTTAAAGTTTGTGTTTAGGTCATTTAAAGGGAAACCACTTCTGGTAGTTCAAAGGTATTTGGTAGGCAGTTGTATTAGCATTGGTATTTTTATGGCCCCACCACTTACTGGTCAGGGCCACATTGTTTTACCCTTGTCTGTCATTCCTCAAACAATTATACGGACTTTTTTATGCCCCCACTGTAGCAGAGGGGCATTAAGTTTGACTCCTGTACATTCGTCAGTATGTCTGTACGTCCCGAAATTGGTTTCCGTTCTCTAACTTTAGTTTGCCTCAACCAAATGTTATGAAATTTATACACAATGCTTATTACAATAAAACTCAGATCAAGTACGAATTTGTACACATTCCCCATTTATTTTCTAAACGCCTTCACATGTTGAGCTAATTTTTAGTATTTGAGTCTACTGTGATGAGTTACAGATCAAGTTTATGTTTGGTTCCACTCCGCTGATTTTTGCTGAAATTACGGGCTTTGGACTATAGACTATGAAAATTATTAACCTTGCATTATCAAATTTCTACTAAAAATTTCGTTCCAACATCTTGTTTCATTTCTTTTGGTAAGTTATTTGACCCTTCACCTTCAGTCATGGTTCATTGAATTTGAATGTTTTGCATAGTTTACATGTCAAAGTATTGCCATTTTAATTTCGTTGCATTATACTATCAACGAAAGAAATCTCTGTATTACTGAAAAATTATTACACCAGGGTTTTCGATATCACAAACTAGTCAAAACATTTACTAAATTTTATCATCGGTACAAGGACATCATTCGTAAATATAAATCAACATGCAGACATCTTATACGTTCAGGTATTTCACATCCAATATTTTATGGTAATATTCTTTACAAAGCACAAAAATTCTACATTTACTACATTGGCTAGAGGTATAGGGGGAGGGTTGAGATCTCACAAAACATGAATAACGCCGCCGCATTTTTGCGCCTGTCCCAAGTCAGGAGCCTCTGGCCTTTCTTAGTCTAGTATGTTTTTTAATTTTAGTTCATTTATATGTTTTGGAGTTTAGTGTGACGTCACTGAACTAGCACACAATTTTATTTGGGGGCCAGCTGAGGACCACCTCAGGGTGCGAGATTTTCTCGCTGCATTGGAGACCCATTGGTGGCCTTTGGCTGTTGTCTGCTCTTTGGTCGGGTTTTTGTCTCTTTGACATATTCCCCATTTCCATTCTCAATTTTATCAAAATTACATACATGCAAGACATATCTCTGTTTCAAGTTGACTTACTTTCTTTTTTCAGCATCTTTCAAGAGCTATGATGCACAGAGACAAGGAATTGCTGCTTTTGATGTTGACAGTGTAAGTTTAACTTATTATTCATAGCTATCAGTTATGTCACTTAATAAACTTAAGATTTATTTGGGAGTCCATTATCCAATATTGTAACTGGTGTCACAAATGGAGCAGGAACTGCTGACCCTTCTAGAGCACAAGTTCATCCCCAGTTTTTTGTTGTGATCATTTTCTTTTTTTTATGCCCCCGCCGTAGCGGAGGGGGCATTAAGTTTCACCCTTGTCTGTCTGTACGTACGTACGTCCAAAAATTGGTTTCCGTTCTCTAACTTTTACTGTTCTAGAGTTATGCCCCTTTACAAATGGAAAAATTGCTGAATTTTCCTTTCCGTTCTCCAACTTTAGTTTGCCTCAACCAAATGTTATGAAACTTGTGCACAATGCTTATTACCACAAAACACAGATCAAGTTTCAATTTTGGTGGTTTCAACTTTTACTGTTCTAGAGTTATGCCCCTTTACAAATGGTAAAGTTTCCGTTCTCTCACTTAATTTGCCTCAACCAAATGTTATGAAACTTATACACAATGCTTATTACAACAAGACACAAGTCAAGTTTGAATTTTGGTGGCGTCACTTTTACCGTTCTAGAGTTATGCCCCTTTACAAATGGAAAAATTGCTGAATTTTTCGTTTCTGTTCTCTAACTTAAGTTTGCCTCAACCAAATGTTATGAAACTTATACACAATGCTTATTACCACAAAACACAGATCAAGTTTCAATTTTGGTGGCTTCAACTTTTACCGTTCTAGAGTTAAGCCCTTTACAAATGGAAAAATTGCTGAATTTTTCGTTTCTGTTCTCTAACTTTAGTTTGCCTCAACCAGATGTTATGAAACTTATGCACAATGATTACTACCACAAAACTCAGATCAAGTACAAATTTGGGTAGCGTCACTTTAACATTTCTTGAGTTATATCCCTTTATAATGTTATATGTGAACAGGGGCATCATCTGTGTCCCATGGACACATTCCCCATTTATTGTGTAGTGTATTGCTGACTGATGTATGTCTTTTTAACTTGCCAAGCTCAAATTTTCATTAAGAGTTAATGCCATCACTTGTGGTTTCCATCGTCAATTGGTGTCTGTCATCGGCATGACTTTTATGAAGAATCTTCGCCTGAAACCACAGAACAGATTTATTATTAGGTTATTAGTCCCCTACCGGCAAAGCTGATGGGGACTTTAGGTTTGCACTCCATCCATCAGTCCGTCAAATCAGTTTTCCACATTTTTTTCTACATGCTTGAAGATATTGATTTGATATTTGGTATATAGTTTTATCATGACCAGTTACAGATCAGTTTGAATTTTGTTCAGGTCTGATGATTTTGTGCAGAGTTATGGTCCTTTGACTTAAAAAATTCACGCAAGTTGTCAGTTTTCCGCACTTTTTTTTGTCATGCTTGAAGATATTGATTTGATATTTTGTATATGGTTTTACCATGACAAGTTACAGATCAAGTTCGAATTTTGTTCGGTTTGGATGATTTTTGTCAAGCCTGCGACCTGTCACAGAAAGCGAAACATAGGGATAGTGATCCGGTGGCTGTGTTAACTAAATACTTAAAAGCTTAATATTTAAGAAGGTAGAAGACCTGGTTGCTTCATACTTTTTATATAGATGCCTTATATTATGGAGTTTCCGTCTGTCCATTGTCCTAGACCTCATTTTCATGGTTCAGTGACTACAGTGTACTTGAAAAAAAAGTTAAGATTTTTTGTAATGTTAATTTCTCTCCTATTATGAGTAATAGGATAACTACATGTGGTATGTGTGTACCTTGCAAGGTCCTCATGTCTGTAAAACAGTATTCACTTGACCTTGACCTCATTTCATGGATCAGTGAACAAGGTGAAGTTTTCGTGGTCCAAGTCCATATCTCAGATACTATAAGCAATAGGTCTACTATATTTGTTGTATGGAATGGTTGTAAGGTGTACATGCTTGTTGTGTTAATAAAGATATCTGAGATTTTGATTTGTCAACAAACATGACTGCCTTGTGGGGATGTATATGTATAATTACCCTTCAATGTCTAGTCTGTGTTTTTGTTAGATGTTTGTCTGCTTTGTATTGATCTGATGAGTTAATATAAAAATAAGATGTGGTATGATTGCCAATGAGACAACTATCCACCAAAGTTCAAAAGAAGTGGATGTATGTCCGTTTCAACTGATATTTTTACAGTTTGTTCTCAGGGAGCTACCATTTGATTTTTAAGGGGGGGGGGGGGGGGGGGGGGGGGGGGGGGGGGGGGGGGGGGGGGGGGGGGGTAGGCTAGGATGAAATTTGAAAAAAAGGCAGGACAGGAGTTTTGAGTAAAAAAAGGCAGGATGAGTAACTTGACCAAATAAAAAGGCAGGATGACAATTTATGTAAAAAAAGTCAGGATAAACTAATAAAAAAACGGGCAGGAACGAATAGAGTGAAAAATAAAAAGGCAGGACAGAGATTACAACTAAAAAAAATTCGGGACAAAATTTTTCATCCTAGCCCCCCATAAAAATCAAATGGTAGCTCCCTGATGTTGTACTGGTACACCACTGTCCCAGGTTAGGGGGAGAGTTTGGCGCCAATAAACTAGTTTAACTCAGCCACATTCTGTATGTGCCTGTCCCAAGTCAGGAGTCTGTAATTCAGTGGTTGTCGTTAGTTCTGTATATCATATTTGTTTTTCGTTGATTGTTTTTTACATAAATCAGGCCGTTAATTTTCTCATTTGAAATGTTTTACATTTGTCATTTTGGGGCCTCATATAGCTAACTATGCGGTATGGGTTTTGCTCATTGTTGAAGGTGACCTATAGTTGTAATCTTGTATGTCATTTGGAGATTTATCTCATTTGCTATCATACCACATCTTCTTATTTTTATATTACATAGTTAATAAAGCACAAGTTTGGCTCAAAGACAAATAATTGAGTTATAGTTTTAATATATAGATCATAAAAGTCGTCTTTGCTGAAAGTTGTTAAATAATGAAATCACTTGTAATGGAATAGAATTTCTTTATAATATTAAGTCTGATTTTGATCACTGCATTCTCCTGTTAGGTGTGAACACCTATAAATAGTGATTAGTGATCATAAGTCAATGTTTCCCTGGGCATTAAATTGGTAATAAGAGGGCCCTTCCTATTATCATACAATACATGTACCAGAGTGTCAGTTTTATTGCCGGAAAAGCATTGTAAACAAAAATTAGTGCAAAATGGTGATTAAAAAACAGACTGAAATGTTGTCGGTACCATTTTTTTTCATGACCATAATTCAAGATACTATTTCAGTCATGGGCCTTTCAGAGTAGGTCTTGACTTGCAAATATGACTGTTTCTGGACTCTTGTTTCAACATATAATTCAGTCATAACCAATAAAGCAGGTAAGATATTTCTGGGTGTCCTCTCTTGTTTTATTGAATATGTCATCATATGTTACATTAAAATGCAGTTTCATTTCTTTTTTCAGTTTGTTGCAACTACTATGTACTCATAAAGTGTAACAAAGGACCTTCAGTTGTGTTTGTTCCTGTGATGTAACTGTTTTCTGTCTGTCTCCATCATTAGCAATACTCTTCAAAGCAGTGATTAAACATTATATACTTCATTTAATCTAGCAAAACTTTGCATTTAGTATTGGGTTTTTTTTGTTACATTTTTGAATTTCAAGACTTACCTTTAGTCTTGATTTTGCATCCTTTGTCACCAGTCATTTTAACAACAACCATCTTCTTAAAAACCACAGAGGCAATTTAAACCAATCAGAGGAACACCAAATAATGAGCTCTTATTATTATTTGAAGCCAGTAGTCTTTTGATAGGATATTAGGTTCTTTTTAAGTACCTGGTATATAACTAAGATTAGACAAGCAAAGTCAGTAACAGCCAAAGATTGAATTAAATTATTCTATAGAGGAAATTATGTTTGGAAGTCATTTAAAATTTCTGATCAATATAAAAAAATATTTGTTATTATACAGTAATTTTACATTATGACTCCTAAAGTTTTGAACAGGATTAATCCAAAACTTATCTCAGACTTTATCTTTAATTAGTTATACAGACTAAAATGAACCTCTGATTGCATGTGGCATACAAAATATTAAGACTGATATCTATGAGGAATTAATCATAGTTTCTTATATTTACTCTATATCAGCTATTATGCTTTTAGAAATATCTTGCCTGTAACTTCAAGGGTGTGGAATGATTTAATATGTTTTGAATATTGATTCACCATTAGTAAGGCTGACTTTAGAATTTGAAGTTGTGTCCAAAGATTTAATCAAAATAAGATTAAAATAAACTTCCATTCAAAAATGTTTGAAAGCAAGTTGCCCAAAATATTGTCTCTTGTCAAGGCTAAACAAAGGCCAAGGGTGATTGACCACTGCTAACATTGATGACTAGTATTTTAAAGTTAAGAGACTAAAGAATTTTTGAAAGTCAAATTAACATAAGAATGAAAAATAAGATATATAAAGTATGAAACAATAAAAGACCAACAGTTAAGAACAAAATAATCATAATATTTTTATGAACAAATCTTGATAAAGAGCAGTGTATCTGCTTAAAAACAGGCAATTGTTGTTTAACTAAATGCCCAGCATTGCCTATGTAATACATGTATAAGGTATGCAGAATGAGATTTTAAAACCATTTCCACAACCCTTCACTGGAATATTACCTCAGTTATTTTTATCTGTTTATTGTCATCTTGAAAACCCTTTTGGGTTGTTTATTCTTATGTATATTTTTACATGTTTACAAATAGCTTTTGTAGTGTTTTGTGTAATCTAAATCATATACAATATACTGAGTCTGATAATAGTTATTAGAATTTTATAATTAATAGATGTTATTATATTCGTTATTATTTTGAAATATTTATATAGTCTGTGGGATTGTTGCTATGTATTATGCAGTGGCATCTTGTAATATCATCTGTGCTTGTTATTGAAAATTATTATTTATGAGATTGATGTAACATTCAGATCTAACTGTTAGCCTGCAAACATGTAAATTTTTTAACTATTTTATTTTCACAATATTTTTGGCCCAGTATGTACATTTAAAGATCTGCATTTACATTTTTTTTTCATAACATTGTGATATATATATATATATATTATTCTTTTGATGCATTTTCTCAAGGTACTGTTTTTACTTGGAGAATTTGATAGGTATAACAAACATATGGAAATTAGAACACCATAAAATTGACTACTTTTGGAGTTCACAAAGAACACTAGATGCCTCTGTTTCTTTACATTTTCATATTTCAATATTTTCATCAGGATCAGGATGATAGTGTAAAATTATTAACACCTTAAAATATGGTGATTGAAATATCATACACATTAATATGTTGAAGCAGTAATGCATGGTTTAACATTCAGTTGTTCATTGAGGTTGCCACTGTATTTTCATATATTTTTTTTTTAATATATTGATATTTTCCTGGTCAAAATAATTTAGGCAATAACTTCTAAGAGCAAACTTTTGTCATCATAGTCCATAATTACAGTGTTTGTAGATGGTACACAACACAAAGTGGGGGAAACAGGTTACTTGGCGCTTAAGTTTTATTTTAATTTATTAAAAGTAAGTAAGAAAAAAAATCAGTTCTGTTCAGTGAATGTCAATAACTTGTAATTATTTGTTGTTGACTGGGTAATCGAAACGATTCAAAGATTGGTGGAACTTGTGTATCTTGCCTGAACAATGTATATTAATGAATCCAGTCTATCTTGCCTGAACAATGTAGATTCATGGAACCAGTTTATAATGCAGACTTTTCAATATGCAGAGCATCTTAGAAATGATTTAAGAAAACACTATATTTTTGATATTCAAATATAATTGTGTGTTTAAATTTAGCAGTATAATTTCATTTTTTTCTTTTCTTTATGGTATTGATAATTCCATTAAATATATATATATATATAAAACAATGGTTTATTAGTTAAGTGCAATACATGCTTTTGTTAAATCTGTTTACACTTGTAACCATGGTTCACTTTCTATTATAAGCATTTTTATGGTGCTTCTTTTATCTATTTTTTCATGTTGGCCAGGTATATGTTATTACATTATAGATATTATAGTTTTTCAAGGCACTTACTAATAAGTTATTAACATTTTTAACCAAATAAAACAATGTGCTCTTGATTCTTTATTGTTCTTGCAAAGATAACATGAAGGCCAGTGCGAGTTATAGTCATGAAATGGTGATTCTTCATTTGTTTGTTCATCAACTTAAAATTTTCATCACTTCCAATGAAAGTTCATTTGTTTTTGTCAAAATTGAATCTATAATTAATCAAAATGATATGTTTTATTCAAATGACTATTATTGCAGGCAAGAATATGAATGATTTTGATATAACGGCTTGTGTTAGGATAATGTTGATTTATTGTCTAATAGTGAATGCAGTGTAGTTAGGATTCATATTCTGATAGTGAATACAGTGCAATTAACATAATGATATCATTCAGTGTTTTGGGTAAAATATTTTAATTTGTCATCATTCTCTTAAAGTCTGGTTGTTCTGAAGTCTACTTATGATCTCGAAATTATTTTCAGGAGCATATAGTAATTGTCCTCCTGTATCTGTCTGTCTTTCTGGAGGATGGCTTAAGTATCCCTTGCTTGATTTGGATGAAACTTATACAGATGAAAGATACAAGGAAGGGAAAGAAGTCTATTGATTTTGGGGTCAAATGTTAAGGTCACTGTTCCTAAAAATAGAAAAAATTATCAATGATTTAGGGATGGTAATCAAAATTTACCTTGCTTGATTAGAATGAGACTTTTACAGATGAAAGATATAGGGGAGGTGAATAAGACTAATGTTTTGGGGTCAAAGGTTAAGGTCTTGGTTACTAAAAATAAAAATACTTGATGAGAATGAAACATACAGATAAAATATATACATTTGTAGGGGAGGGAAAGAAGCTGATTGATTTTGAGGTTCAAGGTCAAAGTCTTTGTTACTAAAAATAATTAAAAAAAGGAACAGTGCTTTCTGGATGGTAACATAAGTTTCACTTGCTTGATTAGAATGAAACTTATACACAAATTTAAGGTATATGGGAAAAAAAGAAGCCTACTGATTTTGGGTTCAAAGGTCAAAGTCACATGTGACACTGTTGTAAAAGATATCATTCGGAGTGAAACATAATTACAACATGTAGGCTTTGTCAAACCTGTGACATTTTGTTGCCAAAATGAGACATAGAAATACTGCATTCTGTCGTCCATATTGTTAATATTTAGGTTCAGTGTGGCTTGAGTGTTTTAACATCAATTACTTTCTCAAACATTTTTGGCGATTTTATGAAAACAAGAAGTCTTTCTTTAATAAAATTTCTAACATAATGGGTAGTTCTCATTAGAATGTGTTTGATTTTGGGAAACTTGTAACTGTATTGAAATTGTTCCCCATGTATTCTATTATATGTCATTATTGATTACAATAGTTCGTCAGATATTAACTTAATTGGTCAGCACACATCAAAGACATAAAACAACAAATCACAAACAAAAATTTAATATTTTCTTTGGCTAAGCATACTATCTCAATTGCACCCTTAAGTACATTCCACAATTTTTTCGTATCGTCTGTAAAAAGATGTCAATCATGAATGTGTATTGAATATTAAACGCAAACATGTACTTTTTGCAGACTTTAAATTCACATGTTTTATCAAATATATAAAGTACCTTCATACTAAAGTAAGCTGTATCTCGAACCAGCTCATCATGTGAGCTTCTCACAATATTTTATGTTTTTACTAATATCAGAGACATATAATACAGAATTATTCTATGTAGAGTAGATAACACCAACCTTACAATTTTCGACATTTAAGAAATTTCAATTTCACTTCGGTAGACATGTTGCTGAACCAGAAGGAATGCACTGACTTGTTAACTTTTATTTTCCATTGATATTTTGAATTTGGTTTAAGCAAAACCTACGAGGCACACGGAAGGTAATATTGTCTTAGAATCTTATCAGTTCTGATAAACCAGCTTTTAGAATGTGCCCTTTGAAATTAATTGACGTTTGTAGAGATCGTTCTCAACAGAATCACTTCTAGCTATTGTACCAAAAGTTGTTAGAATCTGTGATTGAATCCATGAGTGTTTAGGCATATACATGTAACAAATGTCTACTTGCTTCTGATTTGGAGGGCATCCTTCCAACAGCCCGATAATCCTACTCGGGTGTGTAACGTTTTAAATTTGAGTTCGTATATTGCTATCGTCGGCATCCGAAGACACATTTGGTTTCAGGACAATATCAAGCTTGAATATTATATCAAAATTTGCCCCAACTGTTCAGGGTTCGACCTCTGCAGTCGTATCAGGCTGCGCTCAGTGAAGCATTTTATTCTAGTTTCCGGACAATAACTTGTGTTAAAGTTTATGGAATTTTTGAAATAGTACATATTCCATGAAAAGAAAATAATCTTCAAAATTTCAAAAAAAAATTTCGGGGGGGGTTTCAAAAAGTTTGGAGGGAGGATTTTGTTTTCAATTTTTTTTTTCGGGGTTCATATTTTTTTTCTTCAAAATTTTTGAAATTTCAAATTGTTTGCACATTTTTTTTATACGACCGCAAAAAAATTTTTGTGGTCGTATATTGGTATGACGTTGGCGTCGTCGTCCGAAGACACATTAGTTTTCGCACTCTAACTTTAGTTTAAGTGAATGGATCTCAATGAAATTTTACCATAATGTTCAATACTACAAAAGGAAGGTGGGGATTGATTTTGGGGGTTATGGTACCCACAGTTAAGGAATTAGGGGCCAAAAAGGGGCCAAAAATAAGCATTTTTGTAACTTCCAGACATAACTTGTGTGTAAGTGTATGGATCTCTCTGACATTGTACCACAAGGTTCCATATCACAAAGGGAATGCTGGGATTGATTTTAGGGGTAATTGCCTCCAAATTTTAGGAATTAGGGGCCAAAAAGGGACAAAAAACAAGCATTTTTCTAGTTTCATGACAATAACTTGTGTGTAAGTGTATGGATCTCTCTGACATTGTATCACAAGGTTCCATATCACAAAGGGAATGCTTGGATTGATTTCGGGGGTAATTGCCTCCAAATTTTAGGAATTAGGGGCCAAAAAGGGGCAAAAAACAAGCATTTTTCTAGTTTCATGACAATAACTTGTGTGTAAGTGTATGGATCTTTGTGAAATTGTACTACAAGGTTCCATATCACAAAGGGAAAGCTGGAATTGAGTTTGGGGGTAATTGCCCACAATGTTTAGGAATAAGGGGCCAAAAAGGGGCCAAAAATAAGCATTTTTCTAGTTTCCAGACAATAACTTGTGTTCAAATGTATGGATCTCTCTGAAATTGTACTACAAGTACAATACCACAAAGGGAAGGCTGGGATTGATTTCGAGGGTAATTCCCTCAAAATTTTAGGAATTAGGGGCCAAAAAGGGGCAAAAAACAAGGATTTTTCTAGTTTCAGGACAATAACTTGTGTGTAAGTGTATGGATCTTTATGAAATTGTACTGCAAGGTTCCATATCACAAAGGGAAAGCTGGGTTTGAGTTTGGGGGTAATTGCCCTAAACGTTTAGGAATTTGGGGCCAAAAAGGGGCAAAAAAACAAGCATTTTTCTAGTTTCCAGACAATAACTTGTGTTCAAGTGTATGGATCTCTTTGAAATTGTACTGCAAGGTACCATACCACAAAGGGAAAGCTGGGATTGAGTTTGGGGGTGATGAATCATAAGGGGGTTCAAAAAATAGGGGGGGGATTTTTTTTTCCTTTTTTTCTTTAAAATTTTCCATTTTAAATTGGTTATTTCTGATTTATATATAAAAGCAAATAATAATGATATGGTTTGAATAGGTAAATTAAACATTTTTAAGTTCTTAGACCACTTTCATTCTGTGTGAGAAACCTATGTTGTGTCAAATATTTAACTACAATCCAAATTCAGTGCTGTATCAAGCTTGAATGTTGTGTCCATACTTGCCCCAACTGTTCAGGGTTTGACCTCTGCGGTCTTATCAAGCTGCGCCCCAGCGGAGCATTTTAATTTTTTAGTGAGGGTTTTTTTTTCAATTATTTTTTTGGGGGGAGGTTCATACTTTTTTCTTCAAGATTTTTCAAAATATCAAATTTTTTCCAAAAAAATTTTTTTTGGGGTATTTTTTTTCCAAAATTTTTTCCATTTTTCCATATATTATTTCTGATTTATATATAAAAGCAACAAATACTGATATGGCTGGAGATAAACACCAAACAGGGTGTGTTAATTATTATATATAACAGATTAACTAAGTATTGTGCAACAGCACAGTATTTCGCAATAGCAAGAAATCTTCAATTGAAAATAAATACAAATCTTTTAACCAATTTCAATGGGATTAATTTAAAGTCTTCAATTTTTGGGGGTTCTAACCTTGTACAACTATTTTGGATATTGGGCCCCATTTTTTTTATTTTATAAAGTTATTACTTTTAAGGTGGCTGGGGTGTCTTCCTCCATCTTGGATTTTGAAGTAGCAGATGACAATTGGTCTAGATCTTTAATGAAATGTGCAAATTTTGAGAGTAGTATGCAATTCATGTGTAAGACTTTCCATGTTAATATAGAAAATTATGTGTTTTATCATATCTACGGCTGTTTTTTCTAAAAAAAACAACATTTGTGTTTGATTCATTTTTTTTCAATTTTGCCACATAAGGGGAGATAACTCAAATAGTAAGGGAGATAACTCAGATAAAGTAATTTTTATAATAGAAAGTGTTGTGAATTTACCTATTTTAATATGTAGCAAGAAAACGTCCGGTGACCCCATTTTTTTCTTTTTCTTATCGGAAAGCATGTTATAAGAGCTATATTCTCACATTTTGTCTTAAAATTTCTATTGTGTAGTTTTCTTTTTATCACACAAAATTGGATTTTCCATGCATAATCTATACAAAATCTGACAATTTTGCACCACCTGTAGCGTGAAAAAAAGTCCGGTGACCCATACTTTTTATTATATTTTGGAAAAAAGCATGATAAAAACTACATTTTGACAAATTATTAATTAATATTCGAACCCTTTTTATTGGTTTTGTGTTAAATAATTTTTATACGACCGCAAAAGGTCGTCGTCGTCGTCGTCCGAAGACACATTGGTTTTCGCACTCTAACTTTAGTTTAAGTGAATGGATCTCTATAAAATTTAATCATAAGGTTCAATACCACAAAAGGAAGGTTGGGATTGATTTTGGGGGTTATGGTACCAACAGTTAAGGAATTGGGGGTCAAAAATAAGCATTTTTGTAACTTCCAGACATAACTTGTGTGTTAGTGTATGGATCTCTCTGACATTGTACCACAAGGTTCTATATCACACAGGGAATGCTGGGATTGATTTTGGGGGTAATTGCCTCAAAATTCTAGGAATTAGGGGCCAAAAAAGGGGCAAAAAACAAGCATTTTTCTAGTTTCATGACAATAACTTGTGTGAAAGTGTATGGATCTTTCTGAAATTGTACTACAAGGTTCCATATCACAAAGGGAAAGCTGGAATTGAGTTTGGGGGTAATTGCCCAAAACTTTTAGGAACAAGGGGCCAAAAATGGGCCAAAAAATTAGCATTTTTCTAGTTTCCAGACAATAACTTGTGTTCAAGTGTATGGATCTCTTTGAAATTGTACTGCAAGGTACCATACCACAAAGGGTAGGCTGGGATTGATTTTGGGGGTAATTGCTTCAAAATTTTAGGAATTAGGGGCCAAAAAAGGGGCAAAAAACAAGGATTTTTCTAGTTTCAGGACAATAACTTGTGTGTAAGTGTATGGATCTTTATGAAATTGTACTACAAGGTTCCATATCACAAAGGGAAAGCTGGGTTTGAGTTTGGGGGTAATTGCCCTAAACGTTTAGGAATTTGGGGCCAAAAAGGGGCAAAAAAACAAGCATTTTTCTAGTTTCCAGACAATAACTTGTGTTCAAGTGTATGGATCTCTCTGAAATTGTACTGCAGGTACCATACCACAAAGGGAAGGCTGGGATTGAGTTTGGGGGTGATGAATCATAAGGGGGTTCAAAAAATTTGGGGGGGGATTTTTTTTTCTTTAAAATTTTCCATTTAAAATTGGTTATTTCTGATTTATATATAAAAGCAAATAATAATGATTTGGTTTGAATAGGTTAATTAAAATTTTTTAAGTTCTTAGACCACTTTCATTCTGTGTCAGAAACCTGTGCTGTGTCAAGCTTGAATGTTGTGTCCATACTTGCCCCAACTGTTCAGGATTCGACCTCTGCGGTCGTATCAAGCTGCGCCCAGCGGAGCATTTTATTTAAACCTGTTTTAGATATCGTATTGCTATAAATAAGGTTTTTTATTGTTTCAAAGAAAAGTGACATTCTAAAAACGTAAACATGTTTCCTACCTCATGCACTTTGACCGTACACAATCATTCAAATCATGAACTATTTCATTTAAAAAACTACTTTATAAAATTCAAAAAAGAGCACTAAATATTTAAAAAAAAAACAACCCTGAAACATTACATTATACACCATTCACACACCAATACTATCTAATATGCACTAATATAAACAGTTTACAATGTATTTAAGAATTATTGTATCAAATTCAAATAATAGTCACAATTGTAATCAAAGTTTAAAGTCTACTGTGGCGGAAAATGGTCAACTGGTTTGTCTGATGGTCCATACAGTCTATACATCAAAAAAAAATCTAATAATTCAATCGGTATTTGAATAAAAATAGGGTGCGAACGTGTAGTGTGCGAACGTACCCGATACCCCCAAAATGCTAGACCAGCCGAAAGTTCAAACAGTGTCGAATCCTGCTTATTCTCAGCCTTACAGTCGTTATTCTCAACTTCCACAGCCCTTTCGTGTAGGCTACGTGCGGCGTGAGCCGGCCCAGTACGACATTTGTCCCCAGTGTAAACAGTTTGCATGGACATTACCGCAAGAACGGTCCCACTTAACAGGATCAGCACAACGCGCAAGGACAAGGCGCCCAACTATCTTAATCCGGTATTTATTAAGTATTTAGATTGTGAATCATATTTTTCTGAATGGGGTATTGAAAACAGTAATGACTATTCTATTTTCCTTGAACAGGTCAATTTTTTTGAAAATGCAGAACAGAAAAGCACTTGTCACGGTGTAAAGGGGAGTTTAAATACACATATCGAGTTTTGGTAAAATATTGGCGCATGCGATTTTGTCATTAACACTATATAAGGCGGTTACATTATTCCGTTTTTAGAAACACCTAAACAGATGCACTAAAACAACAAACCTGCCTTTATGAATGAGAAATTTGTTGATGAAGCTATTTCTGATTTATTGAATACTGCATGATACTGGGTGTGCTAAGTTAGTCCCTTTTTTTCATCGTGAATCCTTTGAGCGTAGCGCTAAATTCTCTTCGAAACCGAGGTTAATATTTATTATTAGATCTCAGTATTTTGAATCAAAGTGTCAGGAAAGACAAGTTCAAATTTGAAGACTGAAAAATTGGAAATTCAATATTTTGCTAATCATTACTCGCATTATAAATTTGATTTAAAGGCGGGATATCATCATTTTGACATTTATCCCCAACAGCACACTTTTTAGGGTTTTCCTGGAAACAAACAGTATTTCTGTTTTACTGTCTTACCATTTTGGTTTATTAACAGCTCCTTTTATTTTTCAAAATGTTTACCTGAGTTGGTTAGATA